GTATCCCAAACTCCACCGCATTTCCACAGAAAAATGCCCCAAGTCATTAACATGGATTTAGGTAGGTTAACTGCCACCTAATAATCTATCAACATAAAGGAAAATTAAATATCCCAACAGTTGATCTGACCAAAGAAAACTTACCTCAGCTTTGGTTATAAATATAGGCATAACCATAGGGGATTTGAGAGGAGCGACCTGAGGAACACACAACTGCAGGGATAAAAATGGCCGGAACTTGGTTTCTGATCGCTTTCGTCGCAGTCACGAGCGTGGTGGTGGCACAAGCAGCTACTAACCATGTCGTTGGAGGCAGTATCGGATGGACGGTCACCCAGAGCGCTTCTGCCTACTCTCAGTGGGCTTCTACTCAGACCTTTGCCGTCGGCGACACCCTCAGTAAGAAACTTTTCATAGGAGTTAGTTGCACATGTACCTCTTGCGATAACCTTGCTTTCTAATTCTCTCCCTGTAGTTTCATTGTTGAAGATGAACTGGTCTGGGTTAAACTTTTTTTTAACGCTTTTACCCTTGGTGAAATTTTGGCAAATATTACCCCTATATGAAATTAGTGAGCCTATGAGGGTTAAAAAAGTTAAAAAAAAGCTAGGGGGTCTATCTGCAGGAATGAAACGACATATGTGGTAAGTTCAAAACAGCGATGCATAGGGCGTTTGTGCAATTAACCTTTTTCATGCATAATTATATAAGAGAAAACAAGGGCTGTTGTATCCCTCCAAACTTTTGCTTGGTGTGTCGCTGTTGTGATCTAGACTGCACCAGCCACAAGTATGCGAAGGACACCACCTCTCGTTTACTCATGATGTAAATATTTGTGGTTGCGATTGTTAGCTTACAAGAAAACTTGGATGCAGCGTTCAACTTTGCGGCGGGAAGGCATAACGTGATCGAGGTGCCAAAGGCGAGCTTTGATGCTTGCACGGCGAAGAACCAGATAGGAACCGAACCTCGACCGACCGTAGCCACAGCTCACATGTCGACCGGGGTGCTGGAGGTTTTAAAAACCGTTCCAGGAGAAGAACGCCCGGGGGGGGGGTGCGTGTTGGCATTTGTTATAGCTATATCTGTGGCTTCCCAGCCACTGTTCCTTCGGGCAGAAGCATTCGCAGCATCGATGTGGGCTCTGCTGGCTCCGGCTCCTCGTCTGGCCCTGCAGCATCACCTGGTGGTCCACCAAGCAGCGCTGCTCCATCCTCGTTGATTTCTTCAGGCTACTTGAGAAACTCGGCAGTGGCTGTTCTTCTGTCAGCCACCGCTGCTTTCTTGATGTAGACAGATGCTTCATGTACACCATTTTTGTGATACTTTGGGAGTGACGAGTGTGTTAGTTTATGGCGGTATCTCAGCTGGTATATTGGATTTATATTGTATTCGTAGAGACTGCGGTATGCAAATAAAACTTTTCGTTCTATTTCCATGGATACTGTGTTCGTATAAAATGACAGTGTTCTGTTGTATCTCCACTTATGATTTAATGACACCAAGGTTGACTAATTGAACAGCATCTGGCATAGGTGAGTCCTAAAAGAGAAGCCAAAAGGCAAAAAAGAAAGGATTTAGATCCTCTCCACTACAAAAAATTAGTGGAGAGACCACTACTTTTAATCTCAAGCGTTGATTATTTAGTAGGCGGTTATGATACAATCTAAATTAATCTCAAGCGTTGATTATTTAGTAGGCGGTTATGATACAATCTAAATCTAACACTTACCATACCCCCGTGTATTGCACTCATTCATAATTTGCACTAAAAGAAAAAATCATAACCATTAACTAGATAATCAATGATTGTGATTATGTAGTGGTCCCTCCACTATTTTTTTTTGTAGTGGAAAGGATCCGAATCCAAAAAGAAAATATCAAGCTGCCATAAGCAGAGAAAGTATCCAATGAATCTCATATAGGAAATAGACTACAGCCTCACAGGGCCGATTACCTTCACAAGTGACAAGACAAAGTATGTATCTTGTTCTACGGTCTGGATGTATCATTTCCCAATGACCAGATATACTGGATACTTTCTTTTGCAAGTAGACCAAAGAAAACACTCATCACATATGATTCAACGTTGCAAAAGCAGCGTGAGAAAAATACTCAGCGTTGATGATTCCAGTTTGCAGGCAATCAACCATCACCGAAGTTTTTATATGGCTTCTCGTAACCCTCCTATTCGTGAAAATGCTGTCATAACCAAGTTTATGTCTAACAAAGATACACTAGAAGTTCAAGCAACTAGGAAACCTGATTCAATAAAAAGTCGACAGCGAAGCATATCAGCCTCAAGTGACTCTATGAAAAGTATACGTTCAATCACATGGAAGTATATCAATCTCATAGGCCTATTGTACAACAATATTCAAGAAAATAAAAACGCGCAAGTGCAGAGATAGTCTTTATATTTGAATAATAACGCGCAAGTGCAAGAGATAGTCTTTATATTCAAGAAAATAAAAACGCGCAAGTGCAGAGATAGTCTTATGTCTCTCCAGCGAGAAATTCTCAGTGAGACGCGGTCTACTACTTCATGTTATTCATATTCTTGTAATCTGGAACATTGAAAGCATTTGTTTTATGTTATTCATATTCTTAAAAATATTTTAAGGTCTTGACAGACCAACGCCAAAATACTCTCTTAAAATAAAAGGGACTTAAATCATGTTTAATCAGAAAAAAAAACTACAAAAAGTAGTGCAATGATGTAGGAATCGGTTCAGGATGGGGTGAGTTCGAGGTCGAATTGTCCCGTAAGTATTGGAAATGAACCACTATAACATAGCACAAAGGGTGTATGATTTATGGAAGTTAGAAGTCCTCTAAGAAAAGATAAAGTTCCATGGAGGTCACCTTCTTTATGTAGCTGAAATTCAGTTTGTATTTCAGGCGATAACAAGACCTAGAAAACAAGAATGCTAATAGGAGACAAGAATACTGATATGTCATGAACAAGACAAGCTGAAAAAAAAAAAAAAAAAAAAAAAAAAAAAAAAAAAGCTGAAAAAAAAAAAAAAAAAAAAGAAAAAAGATAAAACCTGAATGATATAAAATTGCAAATTCTGATTTTATGCCAGTAAAGGTATCCGAAAGTCCAATACAGTATCAGGCCTAATACAAGCCTGAAAGCCCTTCTATATTATTAATCTATTTTTTTGTTCTTTTGAAAAGGATACGGATACACGATAATGGGCACTGGCACCAACGTGCATTGCACATGGATACATGAGTCAGTTTCAAGCATCCGTGCTTAATGAGGCAGAAAGAATGATAAATATACAGAACCACATGAAAAAATGTAACATAGAAGACAAATAATGATTTGCAAAACAAGATAACAGGTCATTCTGATGAGATAATTGGAATGCATTTCAAGCACTCATATTGTGCATGGAGCATCGTAAACCTTCAGCAGGATAATACAGAATATAGAGGCATTGCAAGTCTGAAGGATCAAAATCCTTTGGGTTGTGATCAGTAGAGATAAAGGATATCGAACAACAGTAGCTGAGGATGCAACTGCAGAAGATCTACAGAGATAAAGAATCGTATCCACCTGTTACGCTGCTACCTTCTCAGATAATAGTGCTAACAAAGAACATATACGAGTTTATCAAGCATAAATAGTTAGCATGCTAAACGTGCAGGGCAATCTCAAAGCCAAATGGATGTAACGGCTAGGGAAGAGAGAAACAATGATCGAACTGTGATTTCAATTACGGTGGAGGATTTCAATCTCACATGACTGTTTAACAAGACCACTAATAGAGCTTTCATTCTTTATATATAATATCTTTTGAATAGGGCAGCTTGCCCTATTCTTCGCTCAAAGATATCTTGTACACAAAAATTTATTTTGCTTAAATACACAAAAAACTTATGTTATTTATAGAGATGCATAAAATTTCACAATTGATATAAAAAATCCAGAAAACAACTCTCTTCAGCTAACAATGTAAATTCAATATCTTGTACACGGTCTAGCTTACAACACAGTGGACATGTCATCATGATATGTTACGTGGTAAGAAAGGATTACAAATTAACAATAATATTATTTAAGCAAAAGATATCATGTATGCATGGACAAGTAATAAGGCAGTTAAGTTTCCAAATGTTCTAAAGTGTTTGTCACAGAAGCCTCCCCAAAACACAACAGAGGAACACACATTTAACTTAAGTACGCGTATAAAAATAGCCAATATGTCTATGAGATCCAGAAAGAAGCTTCCATTGGGCAGCACCCTAAAATAAATATCTGACATATTCCCTAGGTTGTATCATATCATCATCATTTTATGATTTTCTGGTGTAATTAGACTTCTAAGAGAATTATACAATTCCAACGTATTTCAAAATTCCAAAAATATAAGTAACACTACTAAAATCAAACCAAATATCATTCTTTACCTTTTGTGCTATCTAATTAGATAAGTAAACAAACCACGATGTTAGTAACCAAATTGAATACAGTATGACATCTGGTCGGGTTAGTTGATCATTGGTCACTGTATTTACCACAGAATTGGACTTTGATACTTGTATTTTAATTGCTTAGATGTAATTCAATACTAATTGGATCACTAGTCACTTAAACGCTATTTATCAAGTTGAGTTTTATGTTTTCATTTATTTTTAAGCAATATAACTTATTCAATATGTTGCAAGTTAATATAGTCAAAAAAATGCCAAATGCAGCCTAATTACCCAATACAAGTTGTCAAATACGTTACAAATTTTCATTTTCATAAGTGATCAAGATATTACACACAAGCACAACTCTGTTATATCAAATGATCAAACTTTATTTGTTCCACGACAGCAGAATCTGTTATGTTAATTAACGAAAATATTAGAAGTGATTAAATATCCAATTAGTATTTAATTACATGACCAGTCATAACGTCCAATTAGCTAATAAATACAGTGGCTACTAATCGAATTAACCCCATCTTGTCAATAATTTTGCCAATCAGAATATATTCCGATTTCAAAACTATCTCTTGACAATTGAATACATCACAATTTCTTACAAATAATTTATCCCAAGAATTCAAATCAACTAGCTATTTACACTTAAATTTCATCCTACTGCATTATACAGGAAGAAACAACGGAAAGGAATCACAAATAACATACCTAGAAGGTGCCAATCTGATGACAGTTTGATGAATAAAACAAGCAAATACATGTGATTCCTCTTTATTTGACGCTCCCATTACATTGAGTAGCAGAGGGTCAAGCGACCAATGGAACACATTTTTCTTATCATAAGCATTGACGTGTTACATTGCCTTCCTCCTCCGAGCTCCATTTACTTGAACAGGATTCTAGAGGCTCATCGCTAGTTTCTACATGGATAAGATAAAAGCCTTTATCCTTTGAATACACAATCGAACTCTCAAAGTTTACAGCCCCTATTCCTCTAGAAGACGGGTCAGGATACCTGCTTCCATTACCCGAACTACTCGATCCCACGTCCTCAAATTCACGACTCCAAACACTTTCAGCATCCAATGATGAAGGCGAAAATTGCCCCAATCGCAATGATAAATCACATCCACCATCACTTGGGTTCACAATCGAATTTGCATCTATAGCACTCTTAGCATTGTCACTTCCAATAAAATCGTGCATTACATGACTTGCAAGCAAATCTTGAGGGTTTGTTTCAAATGGATTGGAGGTCTCTTTAGGCTGCCCATTGCTATAACACAAGGGATACGTACGAGCTCTATCTTGAGGGTTTGTTTCAGATGGATTGGAGGTCTCTTTAAGCTGCCCATTGCTATAACACAAGGGATAAGTAAGAGCTTTATCTCGGTAATTCAGCAAAAAATCCATCGAAGGAATAGAACTACTCTCATTTCCAAAATTACTAAATCCATTGCTAGCTATTAAAGCCGAATACCACAAAGACAAGGATAGATGCTGAGCTCCCTTATTCACCGAGCTCAGGTAGCACTCCGGATTATTATGCCGCTGGCTTCTTGATGCTCTTCGGGGAATACAACCCAAATTCAGCGCCGCTAGCGAAAGCAAACTATAATTAATAATGGGAAAAAAAAATGCAAACTAGAAATGGGTAATTGATCAAGAAATGTTGGGTACCTTCAATGCACGGCTGAAGCAGATCCCCTTCGGTCTGGGTGCTGTCGTCCCTGCGAATAATTGTGTCAATGGCTTCGTTGGTACGATCCCAGAGGGTGTCCAGATCCATGTACTCGGCCTGTGATCATAAATTATCATCAAATTCCAACTCTTTTAAGTTGAAAACATAGTGTTGGAGAATCAAGCGGTGAATATTAAGAAGACCTCGGAGTTGGCTTTTGAGTACATGATCTCCTCGGCTTTCAGGACGACAAGGGGGAGCTTTTCAAGCCACTCGCCGTTCTTTCGGGTTGCTGGGTTGTGGGCATCGTTGGCTAATCTGAGTGAATGAATCAAAACAATGAAAACCCAAATGGGAAATTAATTGATAACCTCTCCTTTAACCAGGAAAATAAATAAAAAATAAAAAAACCTGAAGATCTCTTGGATGAGGGATCCTCTAACGGGTTGGTGACGATCACTGTGCCAAGCTCGGCGAACGCACTCGTACGGTCTCGGCCCTGGCCTCGGCATCGCTAGCAAAAACACTTGAATTTTTTTTTTTTGGTGCTATTATTATTAATGAGTAGCAGTGTAGGGGGTAAGTGGTAGATGAAATGACGGATGGGGGGCTTTAAGGCGAGATCGAGGGTGAAGGGTGGGGGAGAGAGACAGGGAGAATCTGAGGGCGGGGGAGCTCTATCGATGTGGTTGTCTTTGCTGCCCTTTGGCCCCTCTCAAAGACACGAGAGAAAGGTTTTACATGAATCTTTGGACGCCTCAAACGTACCTCGATTTTTCTGAGGACAAAATCATACCTAGGGCTAAGCATGGTTCAGTCCAGGCCGAATAAACCTACCGAACCAACTGAAAAATAGCAATTCTGGTCGGTATTTTGGACAACTCGGTTTGAATCGGGTTGATAAGTTTTCAAGCAAAACCGCTCGAACCGACCGCATATAAGTCATTCACATATTTTCTTAACACGTACCCGATAGAAACCCATACCCATTCTCATCTTCTAATAACCTAAAACAAAGAAAACGTCTACCCTAAATTCCCAATTTCTCTCACGACTACATTGCAGCCTCTCCATCTTCAGTCACCATCAATCACCATCGCCGCCGACTTTGCTGCCGACTCGCTGACGTGCCTCCGAATCGCTGCCAATACGCCTCTGACTCGCCGCTGACTCGTTGACTCACCTCCAACTCGCTACAGTCTCACCGCCGCCTCTCCGACATTAGGGCAAAATTCTACCTGAAATCCTATCATTTCTCTTCGTGGCCGAACCATCTCCTCAAGATCCATCCCCTACTTTGGAGACACCTGCAGTGACAGTGGAGGAACTTCTTATTAAAATTGCAGAAGCAAAGATACTTCTTATTGTGGTTTTATCAAGTTATTAGCTTTACCTTAACTAAACTTGCAACCTGCTCATAAACTGCTCCGAAACTTTTTTTTTACTTGTATATTTGGGCAAAAGCTCCTTATATCATTAATAATTCTGATCTGTTAGATGTATGTATACTAGTTTATCTTAACTACACGTGCATTGAATTGGTTTTTTACCTTCTTAGTAGCAAGTTAAATTTGTCTCGGTTTGACAGTTTGTTAGTTTTGTGGGATAGTTTGTTGCCTTAATCTTAATCTTCCAAATTGTCTCTGCTGCATCACCATGAATTATACCTTCGGGATTGTTTATTGAGCATATTTGTTATGGAGTTTATTTGAAGGAGAAGATGTTCCAGGGAAAAGGTATTTTCTTTTTGTTTTTGTCATAACTTGTTTGTGCCTATATTATGATCATACATTCAAATTTATGATTCTTATCAATCTCTCAAGTTTGCAAGTACAATAATTTGAAGGGATCATTCATCTCAATGGGTTGATTTTAATTTCTAAGTGGGGATCTTTGAAAGTAAATAATCTATTTTTTTCTTCTCACACTGCATACTTTCAATTCATCATCCAGACCCTAATATTAAATGTTTGTACATTTTTCAGGTTCAATGGGATGAACATGCCAATATCTAAACCAAAAAGAGTCAGGTGAAGGTTCGATGGTTTCATATATATTTGTTTTGTTTTTATTTTGAACTGAACTAACCGAACCGAACCGCACCGAACTGACTTATAGTAGTTCGGTTCGGTTTTGACTAATAGATAATTCAGTTTGGTTGTTCAAAATTTGATAAAAACCAACCCAACTGACTGTTTGCACAGCCCTAATCATAACATCACCCTAAAAATGTGGGTGAATTGCAGTTAGATACCATATAATTGCCCACTTGTTGCACTTAAAGTCTTAAACGCCACTGGTTGTACTTTGGTGCAAAAAGAATACCATAAAGTTTCTGAAATTTGCACGCTACTACTATTGACAAATCGAACATGGAAATTTTTGCTGGAATGTTTCTCTGCGATAATTACATACTAATTTTAGAGCTTTCTAGCCATTAATATTTGTTTAAAATTTTTTATTAGTAATATCTCAACTCTATTTTAAAGTCAGAATTAAGATAGGTTGGAAAAAGAAATTTGGCAGATTTAACAACAAATTTAATAAATATTATTAGTTAAAAAGCTCTAAAAATAGCATGTAAGTACCATAAAGAAACATACAGATTAATTTTTCCATGCTTGCATGATTGATAATAGTAACGTGTAAATTTTAGAAACTTTGTGGTATTTATTGGACCAAAATGCAACATGTGGTATTTAAGTGCAACAAGTGGGAAATTATATATGGTATTTAAGTGCAATTTACCCTTAAACTATTGGAGAACTTGTACACCTCACACTTATCTCAACATTTGACATGACAAAATAATTAAATCATCTTTGAAGTATTATTAAATTTTTAGGTTCTTTTTGTTGGGATTTTGTCTTTGATTCTTTGTGTAACTTCATGAGAATTAGATAGGGTTAGAGTTCTATCATGATTAGGAGTTTGAATTCTATCATGATTAGGAGTTTGGATTTTATCATGATTAGGAGTTTGAATCTTATTCTAATTAGGAAGTTAGGCTAGAGATAGGATTTTGGTTTTCCTATATATATTCTTCTATTGGTGGAGGAAAAACCATAAAGAAAAAAATAGTGATGTAGTAGATGAGAGAGCGAGGGTTTCGTAGTCTTTATCCGTGCAAAAGATTACAAGGAGTGGGCTTTGGAGAGAATATGAGAGTTGATTATGTATGTGAGGTTGAGAGATTAAGAGACGAGAGTTGAGTGGTTCCTCTTGTAGTTCTCCCTGATACATAGTGAATTTCTCATATTGTTGCCCCGTGGACGTAGGTCGAAGTTGGTCGACCGAACCACGTAAATCTCGATGTTCTTTTTTCTTGATTGTGGTTGTTCTATCTTATTGATTGGGGTTAGCTTCTGAGTTGCGCATATCGTGGTAGGCGGGGAGACTGAAATTCTCCAACAAGTGGTATCAGAGCGATGGTGATGGATCCGGGAGCGAGTTTGCAAGATAGAAGGCGACGCCATGCAAGATTGAAAATCGGCATTACAAGAATCAAGATGAAAAAAAGGGAAAGGTTACTGTAGCAGAACACTGTAGTGTGGTGGGCACTGTTTACGTGGGGATCCGACGGTCCAGATTGATTTGTTAGCCGATTGAGGATTTGGAGGCGGATTTTGGTGATTCAGGAGTCGTTCCTAGAGTATTTCGACGTGCTGAATTCGTTTTTGTCATCGGTTTCATCAAATTCAAACTCTACAGTGACTGATATGAATTTTGATTAGAGAATGATGACTTCTTCGGGTCCGAAGTTTGATATTCCGCTATTTAACGATAAGACAAATCTGATGGTAGATAAGGAGTAGAAGTTGGTTGGTGTGTATACTTGAGGAGGACAGTGCCAGATTAGGTGGAGCTTGCAAGCGTGCACGACCGAGTGACACACATGGAGATGAAGATGGTGGCATTAGAGTTGAAGATGGTGAGCGCTCATATTCAGTCCAAGCCAAGTAATAGAGGAGATAAAGGCATCCAGCTCGTAGTGTAGAGTAGGAGAGGTACATCGATATGATTTGAGACGAGCGATGCAGGTGGAGCACAAGGACAACAAGAGAGGTGGAGGCGTCACGGCGAAGCAGAAGATAGTGAGGATCATGAAGGCATCCAATTGGGAGTGCATGTGTTCTGATTTGAAGTGCGAAAGAAATAGAAGACTCTAGCGGGAGAGACAAAGTTTCAAGGCGACGATGATATATCTTCAAGGGAGTTTGGGAATCAAATCCAAGGTGGAGATTGTTGGGATTTTGTCGTTGATTCTTTGTGTAACTTCATGAGAATTAGATAGGGTTAGAGTTCTATCATGATTAGAAGTTTGAGTTCTATCATGATTAGGAGTTTGGGTTTTATCATGATTAGGAGTTTGGGTTTTATCATGATTAGGAGTTTGAATCTTATTCTAATTAGGAAGTTAGGCTAGAGATAGGATTTTGGTTTCCCTATATATATATATTCTTCTATTGGTGGAGGAAAAACCATGAAGAAAAAGTAGAGATGTAGTAGATGAGAGAGGGGGGGTTCGTAGTCTTTATCCGTGCAAAAGATTACAAGGAGTGGGCTTTGGAGAGAATATGAGAGTTGATTATGTATGTGAGGTTGAGAGATTGAGAGACGAGAGTTGAGTGGTTCCTCTTATAGTTCTCCCTGATACATAGTGAATTTATCGTATTGTTGCCCCGTGGACGTAGGTCGAAGTTGGTCGACCGAACCACGTAAATCTCGGTGTTCTTTTTTCTTGATTGTGGTTGTTCTATCTTATTGATTGGGGCTGGCTTCCGAGTTGCGCATATCGTGGTAGGCGGGGAGACTGAAATTCCCCAACACTTCCTTAATATTAAAGTATTAGTTTGTCTAATTTCCCTTAAACTATATACATACATATATGTGTGTGTTTGTTTTGATATGATTATTTTGTGGGCTTGTAGTTAAATATTCATCTGATTAACTAAGGACGTCATAGTTTCTTTTTTTCTTTTTTTTGAATTTCTTGTATTTCCTACAATTTATGAAATACTTTTTCAATTTCTTAAATGGATTAAAGGGTAAATTTTTTTGAAGTATTTAATATTTTTTATGTGGAGAAAAAGAAAACAAATTGATAAAAATTCATATAAAAATGCAACAAAAAAATTGTCACATCATTGATCTATTAAATATTTGATCATAGGCTCAAAAAAATAACCAGATTGGAAATATAAACATAGTTTAACGGCATAATTGGTAAAAAGACAATTAAAAGGGAAAGTTAAGAGTTTGCTAATACTTTAAGAAGGAATTATTTACTTCATCCTTTTAGATAACTTACTTAAAAATTATGGTCGATTTGGCAACTTGATAACTAGTTTAAAAATAGTTTAATTCATATTAGTTCTAGACTGGGGCCTTTTTTGGGGTTGGTTTGGGTGTGTGTGTGTGTGGTGGTGGTGGGGGGGGGGGTTATTGTTATTATCCAAAAATTAGCTTAACAAAACATGATCAGAGCTTGATTCAAAAATTAGCTTAACAAAACATGATCAGAGCTTGATTCAGTTATTTGTTATAAAAAAATTAATCCTAATATGGTTACTATTCCATTTAACCTATATTAGGCCTATCACATCTACTTCTTATTAACTAAAAGAGAACACTCAAAAAGCTTCTATGAATAGTAAATCTGATCTGGAC